GATATGTCCCCAGATCCTCACTACCTTTTACAGATGCACTACAGAAAGCACACTGACAGGCTGCATCACAGTGTGGTATGGCAACTGCAGTGCTGCTGACTGCAAAGTCCTACAGCGGGTGGTGAAAACTGCCTAGTCCATCACTGGGGTTACCCTCCCATCTATCCAGGACATTTATGACAGACGGTGCTTGAGGAAAGCTCTAAGCATAATCAAAGGCCCCACACACCCCAGCTACAGACTTACACATGATCTGCTACCATCTGGAAAACGGTACCGGAGCATTCGGGTCCGGACTGCCAGACTCAGAGACAGTTTTTACCCCCACACTATCAAACTGTTAAATTCCCAGCCTCTCTCACCTCACCTCTAACCTATGATCTGAACCTCACAGTGCCTTCTTCCTTTCTTTCGTTCTTACCAAAAACCCAAACACACATTGAAAATCTTTCCCTATATTTTATTCTGTTGATGCATATTTTTGCACATAACCTGTTACTTTTTTTGGTGTTTTGCACATTGCCTGTTGTTGTTTTTTGCACATTGCCTGTTATCTCTCTTTCTTTTGCTACACAATTGTATTGTTGTTGTTGTTGTGTTTTTTTTCTCTTTGTACTACTTATGTCCTAGAGCTAGCTAAATAGCATTTCGTTATACCATATACCATGTATATGAGTGTAATGACAATAAACTTGAACTTGAACCTAAAGCTATCAAGAAAAGAATGAAGACACGAAAGAAAACAAAAAAAGGCTTTCTCTTTGGGTAGTTACAGTATTAAACAGTAGAGAATACAGAAGGAAATGCAGAAGCATACAATTTTAATTAAGTGAAGCATGTTTTGTTTTTTATAAATGAACCTCATATACAGTAAGCAATGTGCATGTTATGTGCCAGAAATCACAGATGCTTCAATTGATTGTCAAATGTAAACTAACTACTGTTTTAGAAATCAATATAAAGTCCAGCAGCTTCTTAAGAGAATACAAAAATCAAGTCCATCAACCTAACTCTTTTCATATTATCCTTACGTATATAGTATATACCGTACTTATATATATCCTTCACTGTATTAAGGATCTGAACTGCCATATGGATGACTTCTTTCTGCAATCATACAGACAAAACTGAGACTATGATCTTCCTCCCCAAATTTATCTTGTCTTTCAAGAGCTCAAAAAGCAGCTCTTAATCTCACCTGCAAAGACTGATGCACATGACAAAATATCACTGGTGGTTAAACCAAAGCAATCAGGCATTAATAATCTCCTACTTTCTACTTTGCAGTACAGCTGCTGAAGAAAGTAAACATCAGAAGATTATAAAGGCAGTATCTAAATTATGAAATGAATGAATCTGGACAGAAAGGAATTTTGGTAGTTCAGAAGTCAAGTAGAAAAACATACGAAAGATTAGGAAGGTCATATTTCGTACACAAGTGGCACAAGTCAAGTGATACATGACTGGATTGTTAGAAATTACATTCATATACCTCTTGTAACTCTGTATTTCTGAAGTACAGTACCCTCCAGATTTATTCATATCTCCAATGGAATGAAAACAAAAAGAGTTATAACTTGGATGATGTGTATTGCTTCAAAAATCTAAAAGATGTATTATCGTGATGAAAATTACAAGATCATGATGAACCCCAATTAATATCAGAATGCAATCTTCTCTTTTCTAAGCACACCTAATAATGAATAATGCTGTCACATTCAGTATAAATATTTGTACTCTATACAAGACCATTTATGTAATTAATCAGCACATCTATTTCCAAATTAAGATCCATTAAAATACAAAACAAAAAAAACAAAACTAGCATTGTTCTGTTATGTGTAAATGTTTTTTTGGTTTCCATATTTTCTTATTATTATTGTACCACAAAAATTGTTTCATTTTATCTTACTATCACACTTTCATTAATGAGGCTCGTAAGGTTGAAGATATGATTTTCTGAAAAGCCTTCAATACTATTTTCCCTTTCAGCAATATAGACAACAGAGCATACCATATAAACAAAAAAATTAGAGTCAGTGAATTGCCTTACCTCAATTATGTACAAGACAATATTTTTGTAAAAACAGTAGAGAATGCATTTGGCCACTCTATTATAGTTCCATGCACCATGAACAAGCAGGAGGTTCTTCAAATACTTGAACTGAAAAAGACAGAAGAAAAATATTACAGGATATAACTCAATACTGAATGAAGTACAATACCTGTGTAGTGTGCTCTCTGAAGGCACCAGTTCTGTAGGGTTTGGGCATTTACTGGGACAATTATTAATTGTAGCAAAGTTTGTGCACAGGAGAAAAGATGACTGTGGATCCCAGCAGGTCAGGAAGAGGACCGGTTCGTTCCTGATGAAGAACTAGTTCTGAATAGTGATTCAGCTGTCCACAGTTCAAACCTGTTCACGAGGCTTGCTGCTGATGCTAACCTCGGGTGAATCCTCTGGTTACTCTCTGGCAACCTCCGCTCTAGACTCTTAGAACAAAGGAAAATTCTGGCACTCGGACACACTGGCTGTTCCGTGGTTGTCCGGGCTGAGTCTCAGGATGGTCAGGAGGCGCGCTGCGAGAATGTCCCGCCCTTGGGAGCCTTCTGCTCCTAGGCCGTTCTGCCCTGGTATTCTCCTTTGAATTCCCTTTAGAATTGTCCACAGAATTCCACCACAGGCTCTCTGTGTTGCCTGTTTTTACCTGGAGGAACTTCAGTTTGTTCATTGGCTGAAAGTTTAATGGGCATCAGAGTCCCACGTGGGTTACTCGGCCCTACCAGTCCCTGATTGGTTGATCAAGGTGAGATATGAGTCACTTACTCCTGACACTTAGGAATGCAGTCCAGTTGTCCATCTGGCACTCCCTAGATAGATAGGCGCCAATGGATGACCATTGATCATGATAGCCAGGCTTAGCTAAGTGCATCACCCTTTGGGAGCTGTCCTTATCAAAGGAACCTTAAATCAGCCTGCATGAATAGTTTCTCTGTGGCTGTACCACAGAGATGAAGAGAGAGATGAGGCCTCATTTGGGAAAGCACAGCAACACTTAATTCTGTCTTATTAATAAGCCTCGCCGCTATACCTGTCTAATGCTATCTGACCTTTAAGCTGATAAAACAAGTTTATTAACAAGTGAAGGGCTGAAGAACATCTGTAGAACACTGAAAGGAACAACGGGAACCATGAGGTTTTAGAACAATCCTGAGATTTTTTAAGTGTGTTTTGTAAGTAATTTAGCATTTAGGTTAATGTAATTATTTTTCTTTTCAGTGAAACATAAGACGGTTCTTCAGTGCTATAAATAAAATATGGTGCCTTGAAAAAGTTATCCGTTTGCTCATTTTATATATTTTGTTACTTTAGAACTTGCATTCACAACACTTTGAAGAAGCAATTAATGTACAAAGAAAAAAAATAGATACTTAATATGACAGAAAAATGGAAAAGTCAAATTGCAAAAGTACCCAAATCCATTCCTGTAAAAACCTAAATTAATCTAGATGCAGAAAATAATCTTAATGAGTCACAAATTTAGTTGAGTGACCTCTGTCTAAGTGCAATAATGGTCATTCTCATGGTTTCAGAATAAAAACACCTGTCTTTGTAAGGTTTCTTACTCAGGTCGTGAAGATTCAACCACGAAGACCAAGGAACTTTCAAAACAACTCAGAATGTTGCATAAATGTGCAGATCAACAGAAGTGTATAAGAACATTCAGAGTCTTAATGGGTCAATTGGCTTCATTAGTCTGCTTTCCTCCCCACTGATAGCTGATGTGTGGTGAGCATTCTGGCGCACTATGGCTGCCATCACATCATCCAGGTGGATGCTGCACATTGGTGGTGGTGGTGGAGGGGAGTCCCCATTACCTGTAAAGCGCTTTGAGTGGAGGGCCCAGAAAAGCACTATAGAAGTGTAAACAATTATTATTATAATTATTATAATAATTGCAGCAAACTTTCAGAGTTAGTATGCAGCTGTGTACTAAGTTGCGGTTTAGTTAGTATGGTACTTTCTGAAGATCATCTCCAGCTCTGAGTTCAATTGTAGCGAAAAAAACGTGCGGAACAACGTTGGAGTTCAGTTGAACTTGTGCTTAATCCGGTTCCCAGGGCTCAGTGTTGTTGTTGTACTAATTAGCCCAAACTGCAGGGGACTGTGCATCAGAACATTTTAATTTGATTAGTGGGTTAATACATAGGCCACGTTAATATACAATTATTACATTGTCTGTTTCTTGTTTATATTTAAACTAAATTTCCTGACAAATTAATGCTAGTTTTTAACTTTTAACTCTGGAAGAACAAGTGAACACATCGCTATTGTTTAATTGTTACAAAAGACATCAACTAATGACCAGTAAAGTTAACAGTTTTATTTTTAATAGAACTAGAAATATATAAAACTAGAAACATATAAAATTACTTAAAGAAACATTTATTGTTCCTCTGACCTTCTTGGCATTTTTATTTTTTAAGGTAATACTGTACATTTCTTTAGCATGGTGTGCCTTTTGCTTACTCTCTCTCCTCCTCTGTCAGTTAATGGGATCTTCTGCACCACTCTCCTCCACATCAGCACTCTGCACTCCACTACACCGGCTTAAATGAGTGTCCAGGCCAGAGGGACCTTTGCTGTCAGAGTCAGTCTCGTCTTGTGGCTGCAGAGAATGTCCTTTCTGTTGGGATGTTATATCTGAAATGTGTCCTATGAGACAGTCGATGTTTCATGAAGGGACAGTGTTCCGAATAACTATCATAAATAATCACTTTTAAGTTGATGATTTTTTTCTTTAACGTATGCTTGCATTTGCCTACAGATATTACTCTCTGTGCCATCCATTTACTCATTATCCCTGCTTTCCTCTGATAACCACAATCAAATATTTAACAAATCTATTCAGTTGACTCCCAGATTTTAAAGAACACATTAATGGCTCAAACTCCATTTATATAACTATTTTCTTCACTCCCTAGGATATCTTAAAACTCACAGCTAGTAATAATTTAGACTAATAAATTTAGATTAATAAATGTGGTATGAGTGTAAAGCAATTTGAGTTAAATATTGCAATTATTTTCAAAGCGACAGATGCATAAATTCAGTACATAGTGATGATATTATTTCCACTACATTCGGGAGCCTTCTAATGTGATCTAGCGTTACGCCAAGTAGGTACTAAGTAGCTTAAACCATATGAAGAGGTGGTTTAAGTTAATTGCTACTTTAGTCACCTGTAGAGGGCAGCAGCTGTTACTCTGTGTACGTTGCAATTGAGAACAGGTTTAGTATAGTGCTGTGGACCAAGCACAGCGGCAAAGTTCATTGCAATTGGTCTTAAGGGGGAGCAAAAGTTTAAACCACATCTGTGTACTAAACACGGGTTGAACTCCTGTTAGTACTCTACTTTCAGTTCGTTGCAATTGACCCAACATCTTTATATTAAGCTTTAATACCTTAATATCTCTTTGAGTTTGGTGAAGTTGGTCAACAAGAAGTTTAAGGCACCCAGGCACTGTCTAGAACAGGCTATTTTTTTAAAATGAGTAGCTGCACAAGATAACGGTAAATAGTTAGCGATACAACTGTGAAGCCAACAATGACTTTAATGACTTTCAGTGGCTGAGATAGCAGAAAATGTCAACAATATCCCAATTATCCCAATATCCCAATTACTCCACTTTGAGGGAACGTGTATGGAACTAACAAAAACATCTCCAATCCCAAATTAAGTCTGCAAAAAAATACTGCAAAGTGATACTGCAGAAGACTTGAAACAGGCTGTCCACAAGCAATTATGAATTGGCTACATTACTCTGCTCTCCTCCCCACTGATAGCTGTGTGGTGAGCGTTCTGGTGCATTATGGCTGTCGTCGTATCATCCAGGTGGATGCTGCATATTGGTGGTGGTGGAGGGGAGTCCCCATTACCTGTAAAGCGCTTTGAGTGGAGTGTCCAGAAAAGCGCTATATAAGTGTAAGCAATTATTATTGTTATTATAACCAAACCTGAGAGAGCTTGACCAAATCCGCCAAGAAAAATGGGTAAAAATTGCACCAGGGTGGTGTGCAAAGATGATAGAGCCAAAAGGTCTTGTGACTTAGTGCCAAAGGTGAACCAAAGGTATTTCTAACAAATACTGAGTTCACAGGTCTGAATATGCATGCAATCACCAAACTTCAGGATTTCAGTTTAGTTTTTATTGATATTAAGAGTGACTTATTTTACCCTTAGAAGTTTTTAGTTTGAACATTTAGGTTTTAATACAGGCCCAACCCTTTAACCTGTAGATAACATGGTTTCTAAAACATTAATATTACTATGAAAACTGTCTTCCAAACTTTGTCCAACATCTTTGATATCAAATTGCCTTAGTTGTCATTAACCTCCTCTAAAATTGAAATTTGCATAATTTTTACCATCTTTAGGCAGAAGAATCTCAAGTTGGGAAGTCTAAATATGTTCAGGCTTTAAAATGATGAGAATCAAGCAAAAAAGTCTGATTTCTGTGGTGGATGATTTAAATTGCCTTCATTAGTCATTAAGGTGAGGTTAAAATTATAGTCCTAACTGAAATTGTGCTTTTCGTGCATTATCCTTGGTTTGATCCAGAATATAAAATGATACTGTGCATTTGAAGCGTCAATGTGTAAATATGTGTGGAGATTAAACACTTCTTTGTTACATGGACACATTTGAAATTGGTAAAACCTCACATAGTTGCGTTTTAGACATAAAAATGTTTTTCTTTTTCTGGTTGAGCTGGATTGGAACGATCCATATCCATATTGTGATTTCATGTGGGGTGTGTTCAGTGTAGAGAGGGAGCTCTTGATTGATAACACCTCGCTGCTCCGTAACCACAGCTGAGAACAGTGAATGCTAATAAACCTCAGCTGTGGGAATGGTTTAAGAGCACTCCAAATACTTCCCTGAGAGAGAGAGAGAGATCAAGCAGGACCTCAGTTCTGTATTAGCTGCAGAAGAGACCAGACGCGGGAGATCAGGTCTCGCATATGCAGATATTCTGTAGCAGGACAACAGAGGGTGTGAGGTGCTGCTGATGCAGGTGATGCAGATTATGGATTAGTGAGGAACATAAATATATGAGTTTTAAAGAAATACCACCCTGCTAGGTTGTGAAGGCAGGGCT